AGTCGACTGGGACCTCCCCAGTTAGCCACAAATTTTGACTGAAAGAGGACTGTCTCAAACTTACTCAGTCCCTACAGATCTTGTTGTCACAGGACAGCAGCAATATTCTGTGAGGGACAGCCTGGGAGCAGCAACAGGATGATGGTTTTCCTTTTCCAGGCCAGAACTGCATACTCTGCCCTGCAAACTGGAAGTCGGAAGGCGGCAATATGTGTTACTACCACTCTGAGGATGAGAAGTCGTGGAAACAGAGTCAGCAGTTTTGTTTCTCACAAAACTCTACTCTTCTTCTGATAAAAGATGCAACAAAGTTGGTATGGACTGGTTTCTCGCTCTATTTAACATGGAGGAAGTTCACGCACCCTATCAGCTTCTCACTTCTATGTAATTTTCTTAAATGGCACTGTGAGCAGGAAATCTTCTACAGTGATCAGGTTGCCCTGGGCAGTGCTAAGGCGTAGGAGTGGTCATCACCACACAAAGCACTGCCTTTTGAGCATCTGGTGGTCAGAGACAGCCCATCTTGCCACAGCTTGCCATGGCTGGCTATTTACTGGGATGACTGATGAAAGTGGTTTTGTGGTTGTTTAGCCGTGGGCAATGAATTCACTAATTTAACAAGTATTACAGATCCACACAAAGATGTGGTAAGACATTAGTATGAAAACCTCTTTTATCCTGATCTCCCTGTAGGTGAACCACAGTCCTCCGCTATTTTGTGGAAGTTATTTCCACATATGTTAAACTCACCTTTTCAGTTAAAATGAAAACATTTGCTGAAATCTGGCCTAGTCTTTTAGTAAATGAAAACAAACTGAGATGGGAAGAGAAAATGCCAGGTGTAGACTGAAATAATACTTTTATCTCTGGATGCCACCAGAAGTATTGTAGACCGAAGGCAGAAAAGATGTCCCAAGAGCCAGCAGTGAGGGCTGGGCCTACCTGCTCTCCAGCACTTGACAAATGCCAGTTCCCCTCTCACTGAGCTGCAGGCCATGACGTTTCTCCTGGAAGTAAAGGGGAGCAGCTTTATTCTCACCCTCCCAAACTGGTGACAGCAAAGACTGTGAGGTGCAGTCTGCTCTAGCTGTCATAATCATGGCATTGAGAGGTATGAGGAAAAAGAGTAAATGGAAAAGTGCACTGAGAGTGACAGTGATAAGTGAAGGGAGGAGGAGAACAACAGAAAAACTGAATTAAAATCTGCAGAGATTTCTCTCAAACCGCAGTGAGATAGGCAGCATTGCTTAAGTTTACATTCTCACTTGTTTTTCTCTGAGCATTTTTAAAGAACAGGATATCACTAAATGCTTTAAGATCTTCTCTACCTGTCATGGTCCAGTTCTTGGGAATAAGTAAACAATGCTAGAGCCAAGTGTGAAGGTTCAACAAATCAAACCAAACAAGTCCCTGCAGAGGCTTCCTTTTCTCTATTGACAAATGCTAAGGACAGAGCAAAGGGAGAGAAATGATTCATAACTAAAGCAGGTACAAACAGCTCTACTATCATTTTGCCTTTGATACTAGGCAGTTCTATACATGCAGAACTTGTCCTGACAGGTTAACAATTTCTGGTATGTATATTCTTCAAGCAATTTCCATCCATGTTTTCAGCTTCTGAGCCTAAATATTTATCTTTATTATCTTCCTTCATATCTGTTTTTATTTGTCCTTACTCTGCATAGGAACTGACAAAAAAATTTCCTAAAAAAGTATACTGGCTTGGACTAACTTTTAGAACTCAACAGAGAAACTGGTATTGGGCAGACAACACAGCTCTTACAGAAGAACAGAAGCCTTGGTAAGTGGGCAGCTTTCCCATAGTACATAAAGTTGATCCTCGCCCACATGCAACTTCCAGTTTCTTTCACACAAAGGCAACACTGAACAGCCAACTTTGATGCAGCTTTCTCTGTAGTCTGGGTCTCACTTTTGCATTTCAGAGCTGTCTTGGCCTCATCCAGTGCTCCTTGGAGGGTGATCTAGGCGCTATTACTGGGCAAAAAAGTACCCTGAAAGTTTATTTCTACAGTTTAGTTTCAGATTGACCATAAATGTAATAGGTTTCTCTTGAATTTGACATCTTATTTCAGTGAGGACACATGGAAAAAACTCCAATGAAAAAGTGTTTCATTACATGCTTTTGATTTTATACTTTTAAAATTTTATATGACACTATTTACTCTCTAGAATTTTACTTTGATTTAGCATGTTACTTCAAAAATACAGTGTATTTTTCTTCTTGCTTTCAAACTTGTTTTGCCAATTTTCCTTTTCACTATTGGTCATTCAAGACCTTAACATTTCTGCTGAAACAGCCACTGACACCTTCCAGTGAGTACCCAGGAATTAGCTTTTCTGGCTGTCGGATACAATAAATGGTTTGGGATTCGCCCGTTCAGCCTGCCTGAGATGCTTGTTGGCATGTTCAGGACAGGGTCAGCCTCTTAGGAGTTGGTCCATGATGTCACAAAACACTTTATTTCTTTGTTAGGGGCATATACTCTTTGTGAATGCCACATAATTAATTCTTGGAAAGACTGCTCTTTTTGGAAGGGGCAAGGATGCACTATTTGAATTACGTGAGATACAACAATAAAGATTTTTCTTTCCTAGGACAATGCATTTAAACTCCTTCCAAGGCTGTGCATATTTTTATCATAATGCCATATATAGGAAACAATGTAATGAAGGGCTTAACTACGTCTGTGAAAAGCCTGCCATCCAATTACAGCGAGGTAACGACGGCTGGCAGGAGAACTGGTTTGTCAGACCAAAATGATTATGAGAAGCTCAAAGATGTTCTACAAGGTTGGAATTTATTATTTTCTTTTTCAGAACTATCACATGAGAATTTTAATATGTTGAACTGGACCTATTACATTTCCCTGTTCTCATTCTTTTTTAGACATATGTAAAAATATCTTCATACTAAGGAGATGGGCATGGTGACAGGCTCTAGGAGCAACCCAAGCCTGCTGTTCCAGATCTCAAACTGCCAAATGACTACTAAGTTTTGACCAACACAAGTGATGGACAAAATGGCCAGAAGTGATGGCCAGGAAAAAAACCACAGTGACAAGGCAAGCATGTAAAGATACTGCTCCTCGCCCAGCATCTGCCGATACAGTCCTAGTGCCACTTGTCAGTTCATCACTGCACAGCTGTAACGTAACACAAGTGATGAGGATTAAACACTTCCATTCAGGAGCTGCTTCTGATGTCTTGTTGGTCTGACTGCTTTAATACACTTGTCAGCTGGAACATATAACACATAAACGCTGTTATCCTCAGAAGGTGGGCCAAGGTGTCCCTGATCTGTATTAATCATCGTATTTGCTCTGAAGCACAGGGATTCATAGTCCTTGTAAGGACTTTTTGCACGTGTCACAGGATAAGAAAGATATCCTTCAGCTATGAATGTCTAGGTCTCTTCCATGCTCTATAGTTCTTACTGGCACTCTTAGTTCTCTTTTTCTTTTTTAATTTTTTTTTCTCTTTTTTCCATTTTTTTCCTAGTAATAATTCTGTGGTTTTTCCCTGCTTTTCTAGTTGTCTACTTTTTTTGATCTATTGCAAGAGTTACGCTAGTGTTCAGTCAGAACCTCCTTTTATGTATTTTTAGGATATTTCCTGGAATGCCATACTACTAACTTAATGTGCTGAGCAAGGGTCTACAGACCCAACCCTAGTGAAAATACCCCAAGCAGTGTTGATAAGCAAAATGTCTCCCTCCACATATTTGTAGACCAGTGTCAGTCAGGCTGAAATAAGAAATCTCAATAACACTGTTTTGATTTGAGCAAGAAGTCCAGAAATTCCTAGCTTGGTCCCCTCTGGAGACGTGTAGATTCCATCCAGGATTATTTATTGTGAAACATTAACCACTGGTGTAGCAGCTGTGCTGCTAAAGCACTAGTCATTCCCTTTATGGGGCTGTTCTGGTGTCTCACTCATGTCAGTACTACACACCAGCTTCTGATCACCAACATGAACATTTTGGGCATTATTTTCAAACACCAATTTCACACTCCATAAACCTTAGTGGATTTCTCTTCATCTCTGCTGTTTGCACTCATCACTGGCACCTCTAATGTAACCTCTCCTAGCTGCTCCCCTTAGTTCCTCTCCTAGCTGCTCCTGTCTTTCGGGGTGAAAATGCAGAGTGCTTGTGTCCTGCAGCACAGACACAGCACTGGTGACTTCCCACAGTATCTCTCAGCATCCACACCAGCCACAATGAAATAAGAAATCTCACATGGAAGGTATCCTGAACTGTACTCATGGAGCATCATTTCTTGATAACGAAGAGCTTTGCTATAATTTGCCAGAAAAATTAAAAAAAAAACGAAAAAAAAAACCCTCTGATCTTATTTTCTCTTACATTAGAGTGACTGTAAGGAAATAGAAAGATATTTCCAGGATGTTTTTTCATTAATGACGCATTTCTAAGAACAGAGACGCAAATCCGAGGTGTTTCTGCAGTTTGTTAAAGGCAAACATGAGCTGAGATTGACACCTCCCCATGCTGAAAGGCAGTTACAAGGCTACACCATATCCTGCTGTCGCCTTAATCTTTTGGGTCAATTTACTGTCAGCCCAAAAACAGGCTCTGGTGCAGCAACAGTATTTGTAACTGTAAAGGCCCGTAGCATTAGAGTGCACCATGCTACTGAAACAGAAGGAGCTAGCTGCTCCTTCTCAGAAAACAGTAGCTAAAACAGAGAAAAAAAAGGAAAGGGAAAACCAAAGGGACATAGAAATGTACTCTTTATGTATTAGCTGAGATGGCATTTTCGGATTGCAGTTCCGTACAACAGTGTTTTTCCCACGTCTAAGATTCACTCCTCTCCACGTCCTCTCCAGTCATAAACTCTAGCTAATGCAATTTGCAAGGTTATGTTCCGCTTAATAAACACAGCTATTTTGTCCAGCTTGCTGACAACATTTATACACAGACTGTGTTCAAATGCAGACCCAAACTTCCTGCCTTAGTTTACCTTTTTTTCCATTTTAGTCTGAAAAACCAAGAAATTTTGCCTGTCCTGGATCCTTACAGGAACAGAGAGTGTGATGGTAAAGCTCCATCTTACATATTTGTTACTTGTCTTCTTGCAGCAGGATCTGTTTTAAAAGATGCCTCAAATAAAAGTAATATAATTAAGACTGCTTGTTGAATTTGGAGCTAGAAAAATTATAAAAGAAGATTATTTTACCTCCAGTTTCCTCTCCAGAAGTAAAATCAGGTTGGAAGAAAGTTTCCTCAAGGGAGATTCATTATATGCTTGAGAAGTTGTTGCTAACACTGAAGAGGTTACTGTCATGAAAACCTGAAAGAAAATTCAGTAGTAAAGACACATTTGACTCCCAGTTCTCTGCAGAAAATGTATTTTTACACTAAAGTACCAACATACAGTTTTCAGGCCTGATAGAAAAGGATTTTTGCACCATATTTAGCATGAGGTTTTTATGAGAATAGTATGGATACACCATGAATACACAGTGAATGCTACTCCCTGGGTGCCTGTCCGTGTAATGAAACTGGCCGTAAATACCCTTTAACCCCAACTTTTCCCTTACACATTCTCTTTCATAAGGATAAAATATAATGCAAGAAATACATGCAGCCAGAGATATTTCTGCTGTGAAAATATCTGTCATCTGCACTGCAAGGCAGAAATATAGTCCAGTCATTACAGTGTATTTCCAGCCTGTGGACACTATTTTGCAAATGGGAGACTCTGAACTTTACACACAAGAGCAGGAACAGCTACCACAGAATTTCCTTGCTTGCAACTTCCTTCTGACTCACCCTGTCACCACGACATGACTCACTACGTCTGGGCAAATGTTCTGTCAAGGAGAGTTGGCCACTGAAGATGTTTAGGAACTTCAGCTCCATGCTGGAGCAAAGCACTGAAAAGAGCTAGAAGTGGAGAGTGAGCGTAAATAAACCACTTCTGCACACAGTGGAACAGCAGAGAGGTCCTCAGTGTAGTCTGGTCTTCCTCTGATGCAGGCTGAGTGGTTGCATGAATCCTGCCGAGCTCCTGGCCTCACCATCCTTTCAGCTCAGCTTTTCCCTTTCTAGCATGCATTTCAGTGAGTTTTTGTAAAATAATTTCATTTTTCATTAATTTCATAACATTGTATGGAAATGCAACCCGTTGCTTTCAGTGCAGCTGATGTGTTGTATTTGTGCCCTGATACATGAACAGATATCTTTCATACCTTAACTCAAAATAGCAACTATTTGTAGAGCATCTTATTTCAAGGAGGTAGAAAATTCTGATGTTTGCTCTATTTACATTGTCAGATCAGGTGGATAGTTAAATAAAACAGTCTTAGGTTCTAGCCAGGAACCAAGACTCCCAATTTTCACATTCAGGAAGGAAGTATCCATCCTTGAGAGTGTCACTTCAACTCCTTAGTGTGCTTGCAATATACTACACTTTCAGTTTGACACAGTAATCAGAGCAGACCCAGCTTCCTCCGTGGTTTCACTGGAAATGCTAAAATGTGATCCATTCCCATCGCCTCAGCATTGATCTCATTGCAGGGTGTCCCTGCTACCAAAGCACCGCCATTGCAAGAAAGAAGTGTGACGAGCTGGAGATGGAGGACGAGGAAGGCTACACCGCTTTAAATTTACGACCCTCAGCTTCAGTTATTACTCCCAGATATTCAAGCAGCAACAAATGCTCTTCTTTTAAGGCTCCAGCCAGTTGTGTTACAGTGGACAGTAAGTACAGATGGGAAGTAGCTTTTCTATCTAAATTAGGAAATAACTGAAATTTGCATGTTCATGTTGATTGCTTTAGAATCTTTCCAAACTTTATAGCATATTCTTACAAAAATGTTTGTAAAAACAGTAGAAATAATAATCACAATGGAGTCTTGAGAAAAGAAGAGAAATTCCACCTTTCTATGCATTTTTTTTGCTTTCATTTTAGTAGGACTCATTTATTACAGCAGGATACTACAAGAGAGGAAAGCACTATAGTTCTATCAAATAATGCAGGCCTTGGAAATGGAGGCAATTTCCTCAGTTCTGGGGAACAGAAAGGTTCCCTGTTTGTCAGTCTTAATAGTGAATGTAAGCTCTGATAGGAGTATACATTTTTATTTGTTTATACTCAAATTTTTTCTATAAACAAGCTGCATGTTAACTAAGGTAGTAGATTGTGCCCATGGAAAGCCTGAGACTGTAATATGACCACTTGAGTACTATTGCTGCTGCTTGTAATTTCGCCAAGTGGCTCATGTGTGAAATAAATACCATTGCTGCTATTTGCAGGTTGGGTAGAGTACACAGGGACTAAATTAACATCACTCTGGTGCTGTCTAGAAAAGATCTAGGGCTATCCATTGAGGAGGAGGATGAAGGAGAAGCTGTTGAGAAGCAGCAGTCAGAAAACCGTGGATAAAATATTAGGAAGTATGATCTAGGGATCAAGCTTCCCATAAAGAAAGAGGTTAGGAAGCTCAGAACACTTAAAATGGCCTTTTGATATGCACAGAGAACACGTAAAGTAGATAGACTTATGACCAAATTAGGTTGTGAGGGACCTCTTTAGTTCATGTTTTCCAAGATAAAGCCTCAGTTAATAAGCATTTTCATTGGATAAATAGATACTTCTCAAAAAGGCTGCAGGAAATTCAGAACAATGATAACAAAAACTGCAGTAAGAAATAGAGAGGCTCTGCAAATGGGATAAAGGTGAATGGTGATGACAGAGAGGAGGTAATACCAGTGTGGTGAGGAGAGTTGCTGTTTTTGTT